AAAGAGTTGAAGCTGAAGTAAGCCTGGCATTTTCAGTTATGGCAAAACATGGAGTTCATTTAGAATTGAGAGCAAAAATACTTGCTCTAGTCTCCAAAGTCATACCCCTGTAGAGAATTTCCTGGTCTTGATCTGAAATTTGTTTAAAAAATAAATTCTGAACTCCACTTATTTAAATTCTATGATAATTTTCCATAAATCATTTTTTTACCTTTTTGATGATTGCTGAACAACAAAAATGCCTTCAAAAAAAGTTAAACCTTATTACGCGAGTGCTAAAGCGCAATTTTTGAGAAAACTTATTAACTGCTGCAGTAATTGAGGAATGAACATCACCAACAAATTTCCGTTTTTGCCTCTTCAGAACTTTCACATTCTTTTTTTTGTTCATTCCAAAAATATATGACAGTAAAAAAATTAACGATAAAAAATTCAGTTATAGCTACGGTACGACACAAAAAATTACAAAAGTAGCAACCAATCACAGAAAAATCAGAGATCAAAATTCCATTTGTTTTTTAAAGTCAAAATACTTTCAGAAATAATTTTCTGGCTGACAAGAATTGGAAGTAAGAGCATAATAATGACCAATTTAATTCAAACTTTCAATCTGCGCTTCAGTACCTGCTGAAAAGTCACTCTTCGCAATACCGATGCTTTCATAAGAGACTTTAGAGTAAACAAAAGATTTCTCCAGATTAAAACTGAAGTTGCTTATGGGTGTACGCGATGTGTTTCATGAAAAATGGTTAAAGTTTGAATCTGACTTTCAGTAATCGTTCCTACTGCCGTCAACTCGTCCTCCCAAAGAAATATATTAGCCACTGCAGAGCCTGAGCAAACTTAGTCGAGCTAAAAAAAAATTTAGAAAATATAAGTTTCATTACATCAAAAAAAGCCAAGCGTCTTTAAAAGATTTCTGAAAGACCTGTTCATGTTTCCGTCGAAATTCGACGACAATAAAGATTTGGTAAAGAATCGATAAAGCATTTTGGCGAAAAATCCAAAGCGTCTGTTACAAGCACGGCAGTACCCCGTAGTCGATAGTAATAAGCTACAAAGTCATCAAAAAAACTGTACGAAAAATCAAATGAAATACGTTGCCAGCAGTTTTAAACACTTAAATACTGTTGAAAACGTGGTAGCCACCGATGTTGCATTCAGCTTGAAAAACTAAAGTTCATTTATGAAAAATAAATACTTCATCAGAATTTCTATCAAAGAAATTAAAATACTGAAAACCAGCATATTTGCATGAGGCAGACTAATTCGCAAACTCCAGAACGTTGCACGTTGAACTCACTAGTAGTTCAACGGCACGTTTTACAGCTTTTCGTTACTCAAGTGGATTTTATTAAGTAAAGTT